CAGTTTTTGTGTCGCTGAAAAGTCGTCCATAAATTATAGTCTTACCAACAATTCTAATATCTAATGACCAAATGATTCCGGACAACTGGGCTTTTTTGTTCCTGTTTGGCTTTTGTTAATTTATAGAATTAAATGTATTGTTTTAAAAATATGTTCGAATATTCATGCACTAGATGATTAATGAACATTAGTTGTATATAATAACTGAGTATTTTTTAGTGAACCAAGTGGTAAAAGCGAATGATAAATATAGGCGTAGTAGTCCATTGATATATGTATTTTAATTATTACTTTCGGAACCAAAATTTATGACAGTTAGCTATTCTGTGTTCGAGATTCAATGCTGTGTACCACATGGAATAAAATCCAGGATTATCAGCTGTTTAGGAGCAACAGGTAACTTTAGATAACTAATAAAAATAGATGGACATGATGTTTTGAATATATGTTATCCATTTATAGGGCTGAAATTCATGTGTTCTGCTTGATTTGAAGTCGTAGTTTCTCATGCTACTGATTCTCCACTTTTTTACTTGCTAAAGCAATTGTAAGATTAATGAAAGTATATAACTTTAAAATAAGAGTGACTATAAAAACAGCGGAATGGATTTTACGTTCTTCGTTACATTGAAAAATATAACATTAAAACGTTTGTTCAATTGCATTACTGACAGAAGGGAATTTTGCAGGCAACAGACAAAGTAGCATAACTCATATCTAAATCAATACACTTCACTGATTGATTCATTAAGTTAAAAGTTTTCTGAAATATCATTAGACAAATAAAAATATAGATTAGGGAACAGTTGAGTTCGTGAGTCAAATAATGCTAGACCACCGTGGAAAACCTAGAAGTACTAAACGGCCGTTTCGTCCTAGGATGGGACTCCTCGGCAGTGCGTATTCATGATTCCGCTTGTGGGATTCGAACTAAGGACCTTCTGTCTCAATCATTAAATTAGTAAAATCTCTACAAAACCGCCTTCAGATTAAGAAATACCAATCTCTTGGTAAGTTTTCTAAACTTTGCAACTAAAAAAACCGAATACATTGTTGATTCTATGAGTTTTGAACTGGATGGTTAGATAGATGCACAACTATCACTCAATTTTTGTCAATCTACTAAATATTAAAACTAAATTGAACGAAAATTCTAGCCACTGAATTGAGTAAAACAAAACACAACTAAAGCTGAACAGATCAGATGCACACATGTTTTTGTATTGTTGTGATAACTCCCAGACAACTATTCAAGTTTTAACTGATATGAAGCCAAATTTGGTAGATTAAACGTTTGTTAAAACTTACATTGACAGTTTATCCTTCCAAACAGATGGAAAGTTGAATACACATGTTATCAATTGATCAATTATTTACTTATCCATTTGTCTTGTATCAACATAGATGAGCAAGGTAAATAAACATGTTTTGAATAAATTATTGAAACAGAATAATATTAACAGTTGAATTCATGAGTCGATCTAAGCCAGATCACTGTTGAAATTACTACATTCCCCACAAAATACACAATCTGATAATATATATGTGCTCACTGGTGACTAGCTTCACGATGTGACTCCTGGAGTTCTAATAAAAAGCTGTGACCAGTGGAGTCCAAGTCCTTCTGGTGTGAGACAGTTATCTACCTCACACAATCGATGAATGGTTGAGCAAGATCATGGATCGATTGATGTTAGTTATTAACACATTGATGCTGACCGGCTCAGAGGTCTAGAGGTTAAGTGTTGGTTCGCGAGACCAAAGGTCCTGGGCTCTCATTCCGCGTGCGGAATTGTGGGTATGCACTGCTAAGGAATCCTATACTAGGACGAGACAACCTTCAAGTCCTCCTAGGTTTTCCATGGTGGTCGATTTATATTTATCCAACATGTTTAAGTTACAATGAAAATAAGTTTATAAACTGACCAATTTTTTTCATCATAATGTGTTTTCAATTTTAAAAAAGTGTCCCGATGACAGTGCGAACTTTGAAATGAAATTTTAATTTGCCTAATTTGGCAACATAGACAAACTACACCTGTAGTGAAGCGAGACGTGGTTGGGTTGACATTTTAGTTATATAATTAGAGATATACAATGAACAAATCTAAATACTATGTGGTTCGCATTGTCTGATATGTTTTAACTCAGTGTGTGGATTGTAAACAAAACCAAAATATGAACGATGTAATGGCGTGCAGTACTAAATGACAAATGTAGTTATTTTACGATATTTTCATGATAGAAAATTCAGAGTTCAGACTGATCAGTATCATTAATTACCTAATATAATATAATATATGATATAATATATATAGTATAGTAGTAATAATATTCAATATTCAGAACGTTTTCCAAAAATATTATATCATTTTTATGTAACCATAATAATTCGAAAGTTATTATAGTACAGTAGAGAAGCAAAGTGTAAGGAGTGCAAACATTCTGAGCGTTTTTTTGTTTACTCAACCGAGTAAATAACCAATGGATTTGGATTTGAACTAGGTTAGTTAGAAGTGTTTAGTAAAATATAGCACAATATTAACATTCACAATGCTTACAGTGAGACTATAATTTATGGATGACCTTCGAGCAACGCTTAACTGGCCTTGAAAATGTCCACATACTAATTAAGTCTAAATAAGGGTTTAAAATCAGTGAGAAAGATAAAGGTTGTGATTTATAATTGACAATTAGGGATATGGATTAGATTTAGGGTTTTCATCATGTACTGAGATTATCTAAAATGTGAAGACGCAATTTAGTCAAATGGACAGTGAATTTCGCGCTGAAATTCAAGACCTGTTATCTTGTACGTGATTGGTTTGTCCGTGAATTATAGTTTTGCCATGCTTACAAATCAATAAAAAGAGCTCAGAATGAAAGTAACGAAAACCACTTTCACTAATCCTACTTACTATTGTTAAGAAATATCCTCATTCTTCATACATGAACTCAAAATACTAAATTACGAGTGTTTAATTCACTTTTGATTAGTGATTAAAATAGTCTCCTTATTTACAGTGACTGTTTGTTAAAATACATTCTAAAATACACGTAAAATATCAGTAATCAGATTAAATATATGTCAACCGAAGGGTTTCAAAATATAACTAGTTTATCTTATATCTTGGGAAACGTTTTAATCAAGGATGATCACTACTGAATATAGCTTACCTTAAACAAACAAAGTATAAATACTGTGGTATAAATTGTGTTAATTATTTGAATTTTATTGATTTATTCATTGAAAATGGTGAAGAATTGTGCTTAAAAATTAGTGATTGACGAGTACTGAAGGACTGAGGGACAAGTAGAAATGGAGAAACGCTGAAACATAAAACCTATAGATATGTTTTCGAAACAAAAATAACACGAAGTGTCATTCTGCTGGATGATTAGTACAATAAATGATTTTACAAGTTGATAGCACAGAAAGCTGGATTTATTAACTCCCTAATCAACCACAAGAATTACGTCACTCGATAAACTGTAATTTTAAATGCATAGAAAGGTAGTAAGTAATAAGGGAAATGTTTTACTTCAAGATTGCTTTAGTAACGGAAGTCTCAAATTATCTGTGTGGTTACATAAAACTATTTGAATTATGGAAACGTCTATAAAGTTGTTCTGGAACTCAAAACAACCGTCAAACGACACGAAAGTCAGAATTTTCAATACAAATGTCAAAACAGTTCTACTGTATGGGGCAGAAACCTGGAGAAGTACGAAAACCATCACAATTGATTGATCACTGGGTGGTGATCAATGTCATGCTTGTCTAGTCCTTATTAGTGCAGATCGAATGCTATCGATCATGTTGCAATGTGGCCACCAGTCTAGGTGACTCGACACTGCGGGCACTATGTATTGAGATTAGATGGTGGTTGGAGGTAGTCAACAGGAAACCCTGGACCCGGGTTTCGTGCTACTTGGCACTCGGATAGCTCAGTGGTAACGTCTCTGACTGTGAAGCTGGGTGACACGAGATCGAATCCGCCAGGGAGCACCATCTAACGAAAACCATCATTCAGAAGATACAAGTGTTTATTGACAGCTGTCTACACAAAATTCTTCGGATCCGTTGGCCAGACACTATCAGCAACAACCTACTGTGGTAGAGAACAAATCAGATTCCAGTAGAAGAGTAAATCAGGAAGAAGCTCTGGAAGTGGATAGGAAACACATTAAGGAAAGCACCCAAATATGTAACAAGACAAGCCCTCACATGGAATCCTCAAGGTCAAAGGCCTATGCTGCATTGAGAGTAACAGGCGTAAGTAACTATAAAGTTTGTAGATAACAAGAGAGTTTGTTAAAAATTGATTAGTCTAATTAGAATGACAAAAAACGGACACAGAAATATCGACATTTAAAATACTGATCATTAGTTGAATGTCATAAGAAAAGAGTTTAATTATAAATTTTAAAATTACTTACCTTTGTTAAAAGCATATAAGAAGTATATTTATTCAAAGATACACCTTAATAATAACTAATAAATATGTCAAACAATATTTTCATTGTATAACACACAACCATTTAGTGTACTTAACACTTTAAAATACATTTATCAAATAGAAATTAATGATGCAACTTACCTGCTTCAATCAACAACAAAAGAAAATAGATGTAAGAATTTCGAAAGTAAACATTTCATATGGAGAGAACAAATTAGATTCCAGTGGAAGAAGAAATTAGAAAGAAGTGATAGAAGTGGATAGGACTAACATTCGTAGATTGGTTGAGGTTAGACATTACCACCATTGGATGCCGGCCAGCTCAGTGGTCTAGTTGGTTAATCGCCTGGCATGAGACTGATAGGTTCTAAGGAGTCCCATGCTAGGACGAAACAGCCATCCAGTGCTTCCAGTTTTTCCATGGTCGTCTAGCTTCAATTGACTGACGATTTCAATCAAAAATAATTTATTATAGCTTAGTGATATTATTACTATCTTATACACAAGTAAACCTCCTAGTATACATTCTATTCATTTTAGATTACAGTACATTCCAGGAACTATTGTATCCTCTTCTTTCAACTGGTAACTTATGCAGTTATATATAATGAACACTTAAAATGCAAGTTGATTTCATACTAAAATTCTTCATTTATACTTCATTATTATTAAATATTTATATCATTAAATCTATTCCGATTAATGAACCAAATGTATTTTATGTAAATGATGATACAAATGAAGGTCAACGAATAGGTCGTATTACACATTTCAATAATAATAATAATAATCAACCTATCAATTTTAAAACAGATCATTTCAAAGCTGTTATTGTACGTGGTAATCGTCCACCAGCTATTTATTTTCGTTTAGATGAAAATACTGGTGATTTATATACACGTACTATTATTGATCGTGAAGTATTATGTTTAAAACAATATCAAATCAATAAAAATTTAAATAATATACAAACTAATTTAAATATTGATTATTCTCAAATGAATTATCAATATAGATCAATATTATCATCAAATTCAAAAATTATAAATCAATGTAAATTTACATTTCAAATAGCATTACATCGTATATTTGTATCACAACAATTAAAAAATGATCATACAATGGAATTGAATTATCCTTATTTACCAGAATTTATTGATATTCATATTATAATTATTGATCGTAATGATCATATTCCTACATTTCAACCACATTCAATGATTAATTTATCAATACCAGAATCAGTTCCAATTGGTACACGTATACAATTACCATTAGCATATGATCCAGATTCACCAGAATTTAGTATACAACGTTATGAATTATATCCTATCACTATAACTGATTTTACATTATATATAGAAACAAAAGATATTCTATATAATACAAATATAATACAAGAAATAACTGGATTATATTTAGAAGTTAAAACAATACTTGATCGTGAATTATGTGATCATTATATACTTGAAGTGAAAGCATATGATTCATCATCTATAACAAATACATGATTTCATCATCAAACAATGATAATCGTAATATTTTAAAAATATATTTAACTATTGAAGATATTAATGATAATGGACCAATATTTCAACCACAAACTAATATAACACAAATGGAATCATCTATTGATAATAATATACCTATTACAGTAATACCATCATTAACATCAATACAATCAACTAGTATATTATGTTATAAAATTGAAGTGATTGAATCAAACTGGATCAAATCTCCTATCTTGAAATTAATTACAAAAGATTTAGATAGTACAAAATATTCATTAACAAAATATGAATTTGCTACAAATACCGAATATATGATAAACAATTATTTAAATTAAATGAACATACTGGTGAATTATATTTAAAACAACCATTAGATTATGAAAAACATACTAGTTATACATTTAATGTATTAGCTATTGATAGTGAATATGATCGTCGTAGTAAACTAGATAATAATCTACAGTTAATGAATTCCCGTATACAGAATAATATTTTTACATCTACAGCAAATATCATTGTCAATGTATTAGATATTAATGATGAAATACCTATAATTGAATTAGATTATTTAAGAATAGATGAAACAACTGGTAGATCAGCTACATTTGCACGTATTGAAGAGAATAATGATCCACCACAATTTATAGCGGATATTTTAGTTACTGATCGTGATGCTAATGCCTTGAATAGTCATGTCATTTGTACATTAGTAAATAAATCAAATAGAATACACAATAATAATAATAATAATAATAAAAAACAGATACAATCAATACATCATTTCAATTAACTGAAGTGAAACGTCAACCCGGTCTAGTACAATATAATATGTTAACTGTAAATAGTTTAGATAGAGAAATAAATGGTGCAATTCTTCGTATAAAAATTCAATGTACCGATTCTGGTGAAATAAAAAAAACATCTGAAGTTGATATTATTATACATATTATAGATGTAAATGATAATAGTCCATCAATACAACTTATATCACAAAATTTACATACAACACTAAATTCTAATGATAATCTTATTCATTTAAAAGAAAATACCCCAACTGGTACAATAATTGCTTATTTTAATATAACTGATATAGATTATGGTGAGAATAGTCGGACAACATGTAAACTTTTATCAATCATAAATGATCATTATTATCATTGAATATTCATGAATATTTTCATATTGATCCAATAACATGTAATTTAATAACACAAAAACCAATTGATCGTGAATTCATTTATCCACCATTAAATGAAATTGATTTAATTATTGAAATTCAAGATCATGGTCAACCAATACATAAATCAACTATGAATATAAAATTAAAAATTATTAATGAAAATGATAATAAACCATTATTTCAACATAAATTTTATCAATTTAATATAAAAGAAAATTTACCAATTGGTGTTAATGTTGGTCAATTAATTATTACTGATTTAGATGGGGATTATGATCAATTAATTGTTAAATTACATAAACAAGAACAATTACCATTTCAATTATGGAAATCAACTATCTCTTCATCATCATTATCATCATCGATCATTAATCAATATGAACCAAATGTTATGATATATTATTTAAATACAACTAAAATACTTGATCGTGAAGAAAAATCAATTTATGAATTTGATGTTTATGCAAATGATTTAATCAATGATAATAATCAATTATATAATCAATATAAATTATCAATCAATAATAATAATGATAATCATAAAACAAGTACAACAGTATTAGTTACAATTGAAGATGAAAATGATAATGATCCAATAATAATATTTCCACAACAATCAGATAAAATATTTATTCTATCAAATTTAGAAAAAAAATATTATCAATTAATGACAGTCAATGTAAATGATAAAGATTCTACATCAAATACATTTATATTTATGTTAGAACAAGAAGATTACATAAAAATCAATAATAATAATACATTAAAAAATAGTCAATCAAATGAAATCGATATCGATCATACTAAATCATTAGATCTAATCAATCAATCACCAATCAATTCATTTTTAGATATTGATCGTAGTTTAGGTAATATATATTTAAATAGAGATTTACAACAAAATGATACAGGTACATATATTTATTATATTATTGTACATGATAGTATAATTAATCCACGTACAGCTTCACTTCGATTTATTGTTAAAATAGAATCAATACCATTATATACAAATCAATTAAAATCTAATTATTTTTCAAAAATCAATATAATGAAAATATTATAATGAATACAAAATATATTGAAACAAATGATGATGATACTACTTATTATTCTAGTAATAAAAAATTAAATAATTCTTCTAATTTATTATTATCAGCATCATCACCATCATCTATATTATATTCATCATCATCTAAACAATTAACACATCGTTTAACAAATGATACAATATTAATACTTTCATTAGGTTTAATATTATTAATATTATTAGCTACATTATGTTTAATTATATTTGCACGTCATTGGTCATCTAATTCAACGATACAACATCATTCTATCATGACATCAGATAAAATTCAATGTTCTAAATTATTTTGTTTTAATACATCAAATCATAAACAATTAACTAATAATAATAATAATATATGAAAATGGATAAAATTGAAGTGATGAGCATCTTACAACCAACACATTCCTATTCCTATTCTCATTCACCAAATACACAGAATACTTGTTCACCAACTAACTGTAATATTAATAATGATAATAATATGAAAATAGATAAAAATGAAATGATGAGCATTTTACAATCAACACATTCCCATTCTCATTCCTATCCCTATTCACCAAATACACATAATACTTGTTCACCAATCAATCATAATAATAATAATAATAATACAATACAATCATTAAATACATTCAGCGCACATTTGAATGATTCATATAAACAAAAAACTATAGATACTGATAATATTTATTATCATGATTGTAAACAATTTACATTATTACCTATTATAACAAGTTCATTCAACTCAATGAATGAATTATATCCAATTGATGATTATACAACATTACAAACAATGAATACATGTAAATGTTATACACCATCATCTATAAAATCTACTACATATAATATAAATCATGATTTCAATGATTCTATTATAATACAACCTATAAAACATAATACATTACAATTCAATCAATTGACTACTACTACTAATAATAATGATAATCCCATTTCATATTATACAAGTTTATCACCAAAATTAAAGTCTGATCATTTCATCGAAAAACGTAAAGTAAGAATTATGTCAATGGATGAAAATATTGATAATGAAATAGAGAAAAATTCTCCTTCTGAATATTTAACAACTTGATTATTAATAATAATAATAATACTATTGAATATGTAAGTAGTTTATTCACAACTTTATTAATATAAATCATTATATCAGAAAGGGGTTTTGTGGATATTATAGTAGTTTTTAATCATTGAGATCATGAGTCAAATAAAACTAGACTACCATGAAAAGCTTGAAAGTACTGGAAGGCCGTTTCGTCATATTGTGACACTCCTCAGCAGTATGGATCCATAATCCTGCATCGCGAGATTCGAACCCAGGACCTATAGGTCTCGCACACAAACGCTTAACCACTACATCACTGAGATGGCCGGTATCCAATGGTGTTAATGTCTAACTTCAAACAATCCATAAAACGAAGCGGCATATCACTTATTGTCATCAGTGAGTTACTATCTAACAACGGACCCGGTTGAACTCGACGGGTCACTACTTCTCACTACAACTTGAGGAAATACCTCTTGAAGGCAGTCACAAATGAGCATATATTGATTCGTATCAGACGGGGTTTTGTGAACATTATAGTAGTTTTTAACAGTGGAGATCATGAGTCAATTAAAACTAGATCACCATGGACAGCTTTAAAAAGTACTAGACGGCCGTTTCGTCATATTGTGGGACTCTTCAACAGTATGCATCCATAACCCCGCATCGCGAGATTCAAACCCAAGCCCTGTAGGTCTCATGCACGAATGCTTAACTATTGCTTTCACACTTTCCATGGTTGTCTAGTTTCAATTGAATCAAGATTTTGATTTGAAAATCATTATGATTTTTAGATATTATTGATAGGTATTACTGATAATACATGTCATTTTTGAGTAGAGATTGAAATTATTTGTATAACATTACATTTCACATAGCGTTTTTCTGTTTAGTGTCTTTTTGGAGAGTTAATTTTCTACGGGATGTGGTCTCTAACTCCATTTTCAACCATCATACTTTATCCAAGCTTCGGACAGGTAGTAGCCACATAAGAGTCCTAAGCGGAGTTAGAACTTTTCATATACGTACATCTTTCCTACTTTTGTTTGGTTCCATGTGTGAAAATTAAAAAATGTTTAATTCTATAGAGTAAAAGCCAGTTCAAGTGTTAGATAAGTGAAGTTGGACAAACTAATCTGTTGTTTAAGAGGTGTCATCAAAACGTAACCCTAGAAATTTAATAATTCCAGTTATAAAAAATGATAATCACTAGATTACCTTCCACATAATTACTTAACTTGTATTCTGACTTAAATGCGTAGGCTAGTTTCTGTGGAGCTATGAATATTACGGATATGCTATGTTAATGAACACTATGTCTACAAACTTTTAATGATTAGTTCAGTAATAAAATAACATCGTCTCAAATTGTTGACCAAAAATAGGATTTCTTTCAATTTAGATGCTACGTGATCTGAACAGATCTTTTTATTATAAGGGGTTGTGCAGTTTGTGAGCGTTTATTGAGATCATGAACTGATCAAAATTAGATCACAATCGAAAATATAAGATGATCGCATAATATCGTGAACTGGTCAAAGTTAGACGTTAATATGCCGAACCAGTAAACTCGAGGTAAAGTGTTCGCGCGCGAGATCAAAGGTCCACAGTTCGAGTCCAGTGTGTGAGATCGTGTATGTGCACTGCTAGGGAGTCCCATACTAGAATGATGACCTGACATTGATCGGTTTGTGACCACATTTATAATGACTGCTGTTTTTTAAATATCTATAAAATAATCAAGTATAGCTCTTCCTGAAAAATAACTTTGTTAAATAAAACGTAATTTGCATTTAAATTAATTTTGTATTATTTGTTTGAATCTTCCAACTGACATTTAGGACTAAAATTGATCAGTCTCTTATTAGCATATATGAATCGTGTACTGATTGCCTCGAAATTGCCTTAATTCACAAGCATTCTAAGCAAAGATGTATGGTGGCTAGCAGCAGAATCCTGAATCCGCGTCTCCTCCTACTCGGAACTCGTCATCTAGATATACCTGAATCCCAGAGTTGATGTTCACTCCGGGATTCGAATCAGGCTGGATTCGTGCACGTCATGAATTCCACTGTTAGCCACTATCTATCATTGCTTATAATTTTTCATTAGTTTCTAATCTAACATATTAATAAACATTTACTGAGTTACATTTCAAGTTGATTACATCTATTACTTATGTTAGTTACCAATGTCTAGAATTGTAAATAATCAACATTAGTACATTATTATTCTATAATTATTTGATAATTAACATAAATTACATGAATGATTCGTTTTAAAGGAAATAATAGATGATTGTACTATTGAAATATTGGACAATGATAAGAAGAAGAAGAATCTATTATCATTATCATTTATATTATCTTTAATAGTATGACTATTAACTTCAATTAACACAAATGTCAAGATATAGAATGTCTAAATTATGAATGGTATTTACATCATCTGAATAAATAATTTATTAAACAAACACCCATACAAATGCATTCACCTACGTACATACAAACAAATAAAAATAAGCATTCTTATAAAGATACTAATCAACTTGTAATGATCAAAATATAATGAGTATCTTTCTCCTATTTTTTTCATCTTTGTTTATAATGAAAGGTTCAATTTCCATGTCAATTATCATTGAAACATTACTAAACATAAAAAATATTTGAAAAGATCTTTTGTTCGTGTATATACAAGCATGTGTGTGTACATTTTTCTTTTAGTGTATTTTCAAATTGATGCAAAGATTTACTTATAATATTTATTTATTTATTTAAACACATAAACATTGGTACAAGGAGGCACCAAATAGATATGCGCCACATAGATCATTCGATTTGTGTGAGGGCTGGGACAGTTCCCGGGTGCCCAGACCGAAACAGGTGGTTTTATTAGGGGGCCACAGCTCGAGCCGCTGACCTAAAGGTCTACCCCACAAGGCAGTAGAGCAGCGTGAAAAGATACAGCCCCATGGTAGCCGGTGACCAACGATTGGTTCATACGCCATTTGTTCCCGCAGGATACTGGAGCCCATGTGCACCACTAGTTTGGAATCCGGTTAAAGCGCCGGACATTCGCTTTCCGTCCTCTCAATTTCGTAAACAACACCCCCGCCACGAGAAGGCAGTGAGTAGGACTTCCCTGACAGAGGCTGTGTATGCGTGGCCATGTGAGAGCATTTCGAGAGGGAGGGCAGGCCCACCTCACTCTCGGCCATACCAGGGAACTTAAAATATATAAGTGTAGTTCTATACAGGAAATAAATAAGATAATAATGATATGTAAGATACTAATACAACTGATATCATTTTAATTCACTTTAGTCATATAATACTCCGAAATCATTAGAACACAATAGATCACTCGATAACTTAGAATTAAGTAGGTTTAAATAAGTTTAGATCATCTATCATTTGTCAAACATTTAAATATATTTCATAGTAATACTAATACCGATATATTCGAAAAAATCGTATGTTAACTGTTAATATTTTGTGAATACAATCGAAGTGTAATAAAAATGTGAATGTGTTTCACCGATTCCAAGCACCTTCAGATTGTATTTCTTCATTTCTGCAGCAATTCGTAAGACTTTTCCTAATCTTTCACATTGTACAAGTATTCCATGTATCTAAATTAATGGTTGTTCTAGTTGTCAGAAAGGGAATTAGCTTCATGTGTCTTTGGAAATGAAAATTTTGAAGAGATAATCTAGAATGTTTGTTTGTTTGTTTGTTTTTTTCTTGCAGAGAAATCAATCAATTTTCCTTTTTATACTTTTAATACTAAATAAGATTATAAATAAGAATTAACATTAACCATATCAGTTTCCCTAAGGTGGTTATTCTCATTCACCCTTCTATTGTAATGCACACACATTTTCAATGATATTGAATAGTAAAACAAAAAATAAAAATTTTTAGACATTTTAAATTATGATAAATGTCAAATATTAAATGGACTAAAATGATACTAATAAAATATAAAGTAAATTAAATAGTAACTATATAAATAACACTAATGAATGAATAAATAAAAACTAAGCAATAAAATTGATAATATTCAGTACTTATGAGATTAATATTCAATTAGGTATATAATTTCCTAGGTAATAATTATAAGTTCTATTTAAAAATTTTAAAAAAAAACAGATATGATACTCACTATGTGGTTCAATTTTCAACACATTTATTATCAAGCTGTACAGTCGTATAGATAGATAGATAGATAGATAGATGTGTGGATAGATAGATGTGTGGGTAGATAGATAGATAGATAGATAGATGGATAGATAGATAGATAGATAGATAGACAGATAGATAGATAGATAGATAGATAGATAGATAGATAGATAGATAGATAGATAGGTAGATAGATAGATAGATAGATAGATAGATAGATAGATAGATAGATAGATGTGTGGATAGATAGATAGATAGATAGATAGATAGATAGATAGATAGATAGATCGATAGATAGATAGATAGATAGATAGATAGATAGATAGATAGATGGATAGATAGATAGATAGATAGATAGATGGATAGATAGATAGATAGATAGATAGATAGATAGATAGATAGATAGATAGATAGATAGATAGATAGATAGATAGATAGATAGATAGATAGATAGATACATAGATACATAGATAGATAAAATGTGAGCAGTGAATAAACGTGATGATCTAATAAAATTGTACAATTCGATCAGAAATTTTCAATATAAGATTTGTAAAAAATTCTTTTATTATTTAAATCATTAGTTGATTTTAGTTAGAACAATAATGAAAACCAGACAGATCTAGATAACTATTTTATTCTGATGAGAATCTATGACCAGTGGAGATCAACCATGAAGAATGTAAGATAGATGATCACTGTAAATAATGAATGATAAAATTTTAGAATCGTGAATTAGTTCTAACTAAACATGTACATCATTTTATACAGACATTGTTTTAGATATTATGACTCAACTAATGAGACTGAAGTTCCTGGATTAAACTCCTTATGATTGGGTCGTGGATTTCCATTACTGATGAGTTACATACTAGAATGGAACAGTTGTTCAATGTTTCCTTGTTTTTCATAATGGTCTAGATAAGATCATTTCGTGATTTAAAATATGATAATAATTCTGTTAAAAGATTTCTTCACTGAATATCATGGTTTCAACTTTTTTTCAATGTTTATTTCATCTTGAAATAAAACGGTTTCGTATTTTTATATCAGTAAATAGATAAACATGAAAGAGTGATTGAGAGAAATAAGATTTTTCACACTATGAATTAAATGAATGAATGAATTTATCAGACTTTCGTTGACTTCCAGGTGTTGTTGGAATGAATACCTGGATGTTGACTAAGTCTGCAATTTATTAATACTTTTGAATACTGAGTAACAGTGAAAGTTAATGGTGTGCATTTGGTCCAATTTAGGATTTGTCAGTTGAATCATCAATTTCAACATAAAGCGTAATTTGGAACCACGAAAAGATAGACGTACTTAATTACTTAATTTTATAAGGGATTCCCTATATATATATATATATATATATATATATATATATATATATATATATATATATATATATATGAACCTTGAACATATTACTTTGCTATTCCGATTCATTTGTATGATTCTACTTAAAATGAATTTCAGTTGTCAGTGAAATCTTAGGTGCACATTTCAATAGATGTACCTGAATTCTTGTAATCATGACAAAAATCTAAGATAATTTGATTTCATAATTAATTGAAGCCACTAGATAGTGAAGATTTGTCACTCAGGTGGATGGTTCTTCATGGATTTTTGTTCTCTGAGCTGGATAGTTTGGTCATGAAGCTTTCATCGTTCTTCTGAACCACATCATCAGTCCAAACTTCAGGTAGACATTTATGCTGATGATGTCGTTCGAAAAAAACGATGAAAACTCCACGACCAAACCATTCAGTTTAAAGGACAAAACTCCATCAAAAGACATCAGATAGTATAACATATTTCCTTTGTAACCATGTTATCAAATGATTTTACGCTTATCAGTTTACTGAACAGGTGTTAACTGGTTAAGCATATGAAATCGATTGAATCTACTGGATATTAAACATTGAATTCCATTAAATGTAAATCTATTAAGTTTTGGTAATTGAAATTGATAAATGCAAGAAAAAAATATTTTAATGAATAAAACAAAAATCTCACAATAATGTTTGTTTTAAAAATGCATTATTGTATATAAACCATTATTACTATTATTAAATATAAACATTATAAAATTATAAGCAGACGTTGTAGATATTATAATGACTCAATTAGATCGGACGATGTTATCTACGGAGTTACTGATTTTGTGAGATCCGTGATCTGACTCCACGTGGATCGTATGAATGATTGCTATCGAAATGTAAATCCTGGCTATTTACTTACTTATTTACGCCTGTTACTCCTAATGGAGCATAGGCCGCCAACAAGCATTCTACAAATCAATCTGTCTTCCGCCTTCTTTTCTAGTTCCATCCAATTCTTGTTCACTTTTTTCATGTCTGTCTCCATTTCTCGGCATAGTGTGTTCTTTGATCCTCCTCTTCTCCTTTAGCCTTAAGGATTCCATGTGAGGGCTTGTCTTGTGACGCAGTTGGGTGCTTTCCTTAATGTGTGTTCTATCCACTTCCATCGCTTCCTCCTGATTTCTTCATCCACTGGGATCTGGTTTGTTCTCTCCCATAGTAGGTTGCTGCTAATAGTGTCCGGCCAACGGACCCGAAGTATTTTACGTAGGCAGCTGTTAATAAACACTTGTATCTTCTGAATGATGGTTTTCGTAGTTCTCCAGGCTTCCGCCCAATACAGTAGAACTGTTTTGACATTTGTATTGAAAATCCTGACCTTGCTGTTGGTTGACAGACAGTTGTTTTGAGTTGCAGATGTTCCTCAGTTGTAAATATGCTGCTCCTACTTTGCCGATCCGCGCCTTCATATCTTCATCAGATCCACCGTGTTCATCAATGATGCTGCCCAGATATGTAAAGGTTTTTACATCTTCCAAATCTTCTCCGTTAATTGTGATTGGATTGGTGCATGCTGTGTTGTATCGGGGAATCTTGCTTTTCCCTTTGTGTATATTGAAATCTACTGCTACTGAGGCTGCTGCTACACTGGTCGTCTTCTCCTCCATTTGTTGTTGCATGTGCGGTAGAAGAACCAGATCATCTGCGAAGTCTAGAACGCTAAATCTTGGCTATCCTTGTAAATAATCATCGACTTAATCCGCTTTAGTGTATAAGTCAAATAGGAAAATGTAGTTTTGAATATGTATATTTTGTACATTCATTGATTCAGGCAGACGATCTAAGGAACAAAGTGAAATGAAATGATACGCGATTGTAAAGGCGTGTGAGCCAACTCCATTTAATCAAACGTTAATCAATATTTATAGTCACACAAAAATGAGCTATACACATGTAGTGTGTAGGATAAGAAGTGTAAATACACACGCTTATATAAAACAGTCACTGTTGATAAGTGAATAATTAACAAAGTCAAAGATTTGACTCAAGAAGAATGGATAAATTGGCCCGTCCAAAAGCTAGAATAAGTTATATAGACTTAACTTGGTAAACGACACTACAATATGACTACTTAAAAGTTACGTAATATATACACTATACAAAGATTTCAGTACGCAATTCCCACCAAAAAATCTACACCAAATTAAATTTTAATGAATAGTTTAAGTGAAGTTTGATCATGGAATGGCATCAACTGTAGAACCATTGAAAGTAAGTGAGGAATGGACAGGTTGTTCACTATGGTTTATAGATGCGTCAGTACAAGGACATTTACAGCTTTCGATGAAAAATCCCGGAATTATTCTCAAATGGATGATCTTTGGAGTTTTTGGAAAGCTAGTCTACTGAACTTAGAGGTATGAACCAATTGGTGATGACCAAACATCTAAATGTTACGTAATTAACATGTTAAAAATGTGTCTCGGTTTCTGGTTTATGTCCTGGCTTATATCCTATTCAATGATCCTTCGATTAATATTAGTGCATCGTGAAAACTAGGCTTAAATCAAATAGCTTCTGCATCCTTTTTTTACTTACTAATATTATAAGTGATCTCATCTTCACCTTATTATTTCTGGGCTTTTGATTTTTTGCGTGGTTTTACTAAATACTTTCTACAGATTTAAAGTAAAACACATCTGTGGTCTAGAAGTTAATGGTTTGCATGAGATCGAAGGTCCTGAGTTTGAGTCCTGCATACGGGGTCGCGGATCAATCTTATTATTAAATTATAATTACTATAATCTCTAGAAATCACCATCCTGATAATAAACATGTGCTCACTGGTGACTAGCTTCAAGATGTAACTCCTGGAATTCTAGTGAGAAGTCGTGACCAGTGGAGTCCATTCCCAGTTGGGTGTGAGACAATTATCCACCTCACAAAATGGATGAATGGTTGAGCAAGCTTATGAATCTATTGAAATTGAACATTAACACCGTTGGATGTAGGTCGGATCAGTGATCTAGATGTTAATCGTTCGAGCACGAGACCGAAAGTCTTGCGTTCGGGTCCCGTGTGAAGGATAGTGGATGGGCACTGCTAAGTACTTTCATACTAGAACGAAACGACTTGTTGTTAGCTTAGATAAACTCATGAACTAGACAGATAAAATTACTACGATCTTCACAAATCCGCATTCTGATAAAAATCATAATCAGTCAAATATTTTAAGTTTTCATTTCCGTCTAATTCTCAGTCATTAAAGGTGTTGTTTATAAATTTTATGTTGAAAATTATTTTCATCATAGTCTGGGATTCCTTAGGGATTTGTCGTAAACAAAAAAGCATTAAGCAGCTTTCTTTGTCTTTCTTAACAAAATGATCAGCACAAAAGTTGGGTGGATCTATTCAAATTTCTCCACAAATGATTAACGGCTAGTACCACCGACGTTGACAGGTTTTTGTTAACCATTGTCCGGTTATTATCTGTGTATTTATTTTGATTATTTTGTTCTTTGATCTGATTTTTTATTTCAAAATTGTCCGTGAATTTTTTTAGATCGATTCCCTATCATACTGACAGTTGATCCTTCCTGACGTTTTAGTATTCTATATGGCAAACATCAATATCTAATCAAACATACGAACATACGACCACCATGGAAAACCTGGAAGCACTGGATGGCCGTTTCGTCATAGTATGGGACTCCTCAGCAGTGCGCATCCACGATCCCTCATCCCGCGAGACTCAAACCCAGGACTTATCAGTCTCGCGCCAGGCGCTCAATCAACTAGACCACTGAGCTGGCCGGCATCCAATGGTGGTAATGTCTAACTTCAACCAATCCACGAAGTTGCTCCACCGTACACCATTGTCTTCAGTGAGCTGACATCTCAAAACAGACCTGGTTGAACTCGCGGGTTGCGGGATCATGGATGTGCACTGTTGGGGAGTCCCATACTACGACGAAATGGCCGTCCAGTGCTTCCAGGTTTTTCATGGTGGTCTAGCTTCAATTGACTCACGATTTCAAATTGTGAAATTTGTAAAATCTCCACAAAACCACTTCTGATGATATTCAAATTGTTTTTTTTTCTATCGTAGAAGTAATTCCATAAAATGAAAGAATATTCCTCTCAAGTGAACATTCATGGAAACAATCCATAAATCAACGATTTTTCATGACTGACAGTGAAAATATGAAAAAAAAATAAAACAATCATTAACAAACTTAAAACGAAGCCAATTTAATAATAATGAAACATACATTGAGAAAATAATAATATTTTTTACCTTAAATCTTTATATCCAGTATTCCAACTCGTTTTTTAAACTTTTCACAGGGTTTTTAAAAATAAACAAAACAAATTTTTTTAAATTTTTCCCCGCGTTTTTTGAAATAACCATAGCGTTTTTAAAAAAAATTAAATTCTTCTTTAGTAATTATATTTAAACAATTTCAATGTATCATGTCTTAACCATGTAAATCTTGTATGGTTAATTCATTTATTGAATTTAATAATGAGACTTGTAAATGATGCGTTGAATTCATTCACTAAATCTTTTTTTTTGTAAAGTATAATCTACAGTTTATAAATGATTCTTCTTATAGAATCAATGCATAAATTTATAGAAAATATATTTCGTATTTTGGTTTTGGTTTTGAAATTGTAAGATTGCCAGAAATGAGATCTAATTCTATTGATTCTTTTACAGAATGAACAATCTCTCTTGTAATCTTCTTATGTCATGACCTTCTTGTCTTTTTCTTCTTAACAGTTCCAATGGCTTAATAATTCACATCCATAAGAAATAAGGGCATCTTTGACATTAAATCCTCCTTCAATAACTTTTTGTTTATGAGGCATTGTCTCTTTTCATTTGAAATTGGATTGTTTGTTTGGTATGTAATGATTATTTAAAAATGTTTAAAAAAGCGCCGTGGTTATTTCAAAAAACGCGGAAACTTTTTTTATCATTTTTTTGATTATTTTAAAAAACCCTGTTGAATTTTTAAAAAAACGAGTTCAAATACTGTATATATATAAATATATGCATATACGTCTATATTTCAAAAATATTCTATTTTTGTCTTGTTCAACTTTCAATTTGTTTACTTTTTGTTTAAATATTTTGTTGTTCAATGTTCAAATGCTTTTTTTTTAATTTTGCTTTATGTTTTGTTTTATTTTCTACCATTATGATTATGACTATTGTGAATGATAATGAAAACAAAACAAAAAGTGATAAAAGAAAATACGTCATTATGATTGTTTATTGATTATATTTATTAAAATTATTTTGTAAATAAATGTAATGAAAATATCTTCTTTTCTTCTTCTTCTTCTTTTTATTACTATGATTATCATTATTATTCAATAAGACATCTGAAAGTGAAGATTCTAATTGTGTTCTTTCTACTTTAAGTTTTTCAATGTTTTACAAAATTTAAAAAAGTATTTTATTGTGTTAGAAAGAAGGAAACAATAGGAAATTTTTAAAAATCAACAATAGTAACTCACTGATAATAATGATGAATGGTGATGTAATTTTGTAGATTGATTGAAGTTAGATATCAACACTGTTGAATTCCGGCTTGATCAGTGGTCTAAAGGTCAAGCGTTCGCATGCGAGACCTGGTTTCAAATCCCACCATAGCGGGATTGTGGATGCGCGCTCATCAAAAATCCCATACTAGGACGAAACGGTCTGTTATGACTTATGTCCGGCTTTTATCACATGACTTATCCACCAATCAAAATATGATCTATACAATATTCGCACTGTGCCAAAACAAATGACTTTCGACCAGTATGAGCACCTAGCGTCATATTTGGTCATATGTCTGCCTAGCCCGTCTACTTGAGTCCAGAATTCCAATACCAGCTTCCAATATGCGAATCATGTATTCCAAACATACTGTGTTTATATATCAAACAAACAGACCGCAACGCACCATAAAATAGGAAACAGTATTTGTACATAATAAAGCCAAAAAGTGGCTGTGAACGTGGGAGGCAGTAGTTAATAAATTGAGCACAATTTAGGGACAGTAAATCGTATAATAATAAATTATAGGTCAAAGTGAAGCTTATAATAAGGGAAATATAAGTATACATAATCTAATTATTGATAATTATACACTATGAATATTTATAGAATATTAGTTCATTAATAGTCTTCGGTAGTTACCTGTAATTTAACCTTCACTAGGATATAACAAGGGTAGTTCAGTTATTTCAGGTTTTCCATAGTGATCTAACTTCAAGTGACTCATGAACCTAACTATTTTCTTGTTTATGTTATATAATTATCAATTCAAAAGTGCTGAATTCCATTAAATGATATTGTAACGAACAAGAACACAAGTGTGGACAATCAAATGTATTTGAACACAAAATTACAGAAAGTCTTATTAAAATCTGAGGACTATACAGTAAATACTTTATTGACGAAATGTCAATCAATCGTCTCAGACTTCGTTGTTCTTTCAGTTCCATAGCAATCATTCACTGTTCTCGTTATCTTTTCTTCGATCTTCTTAACCTTTTACTGCCAGGTATTTAAATTTTGATTGATGATACATACTATTTATATCTATCAACCTCAGGACCACACATCGCAGTATATTTGCGTATACATTTAAGAGTTTAGTTGGTGTTATCAACTAAAGATGGTGTATTTTCATGTTGATTACATCTTGAGGCCCAAAAAAATGTCATGAATGAGGTCAAAAGGATATACAAAAAGGAGTAAAACAAAACATTTTGTCATATGTTTTTGGTTGATAAATATTGTGATGTTCTTTACTGTGTTAAGCCCGTATAACTCATTCTGGCTTACTGACAAACCATTTTATTGCTTTTTCTTAAATCACGTTTTCACCTTGTTAATTATTCGCTTAACAACTCTGACTTTTTATATTAACGTTTATGTGTGCACTTCTTACACTACTCATCACATATCTGCAACTTATTTTTGTGTAACTATAAATATCGATTCACGCTTGATTAATTGAAGTTGGCCCACACGCCTTCTCCACTGTGCGTTATTTTTCTTCGTCCCTCTTATTATCTGTCCATATGCATGAGTGTACAAAGTATACGTATTCAAACTTCATTCTCATATTTGACTCATTTAATTCCGTTATTCACTGACGTGATTTAAGTTGATGATTGTATACGAGGATTTTTGCTTACTTACGCCTGTTACCCCCGTGAAGAAGCATAGGACGCCCACCAGCAATCTTCATCCAATCCAGTCCTGGGCAATCTTTTCCAGCTCTTCCCAGTTGTTATTCATCCTTTTCATATCTGCTTCTATTTCCCGACGCATTGTGAACTTCAGCCTTCCTCTTTCCTGCTTCCTTTCAGGATCACAAGTTAGGGCTTTCCTCGTGATACAATACGAGGATAGCCAGGATGTATATTTCGACAGCAGTTATTTGATAGCAATTATAAACGATCCAAACGGAGTGAGATATAACGGCCGCTAAAGTATCAGCCAATAGATAAATATCATATCTGAAATATAATTACAAATTTGGAAAGATACTTTATCTTTTTTATCGTAATAATAATATTATTTTTGTAATAGTAATATGATAGCAATAATTAATAATAAGAAAATTATGGATGTTTATTTAAAGATCAATCTGTGATATTGACTTTAAGATTCAACTAGCTTTATAAATCTCTTACAGTAATTAATAAATATGTACTCACCAGGGCTATTTTTGAGGGGTGATTTCAAAAGTTCCAGTGAAGTGTTGTGACTATGAGAATTCGACCATATCAAGTATGAGACATTTACCCATCAAGTACATTTCAAGATATTACGGTGATATTGCGGATTAATTGAAGTTATACGCGTAAACCATTAGATGTCGGCTCACTGTTCTAGATGTTAAGCACTTATCCATGAGACCAGAAGTCTTAAATCCAACCCGTGGTTAGATCGTGGATGGACACGGAAGAGAGGTCCCATACTATGATGAGACATCTGTCCAGTACTCGTTGGTGTTCAGTAGTTTTCTAGCTAAGATCATTTGGTTTTTTTAACTAAAAATAAGAAAGATTTATGCGTAAATATAAGTTTGTCAAAGGAAGGCTTTGGTAAAGATCTACCATAAAGAAAGAGATAGTAAATTTTATTGGTTGCGCATCAAGATGACCAGTCGGGTTAAGAATAAGGTAACCGTATTATGTGCCATTATGATCAGTGACAAATTTCAGAAATTTTATCGAAGGGGATTTTCTTTCCAAAAACATTAATTAATCATGACATGCAACTATGTTTCACAGTGATTTAACAAATAAAGTAGTTTCTTGTATAGCAAATAAAGAATTCAATAACAAAGTGTTCAGGAATTTCAAATGTCAAAAAGTTGTTGCATAACTGATGTGAAGTTAATGGAAATAATAACATGAAGCCAAACGTATGAAAGAAAATTGTCCTTTTGATGAATACCCGAAATTTGAGGAAGTAACCACAATCCTGGATCAGGTAAGGGCAGTTGCTTTTGGTGAACTTTAGTCGTCTAACCTGGATTGTTTTATCATCAAAAGTCAACGGGACAAAATTGTTTACTCAAATACAAGGATAACTGTAGATAATTAAATATATATATATTCTTGAATGTCTCGGCTACCTGTTCCTACTATCTAGATATTTCAACAAGTTATCTATTTTCTTGCTTGTTTTATCAGAATATTATGTCAATTAATTGTACAACCTATTCAGGTGCGTTTAAGAAAAGTTCACGACCTTTCGCTGTTCAAGTTAGGAAAGAGCACAACCAGAGATATTGTGGTTGCTGGAAATATACATCGAAAAGAATGTACATTATTCAGATGTCGACTTCTGAAATGCCAAATATTTAACTGGCGATCACTCAGTATTTATCGTCAGGACGATCAAGAAATAAGAACATGAAATGTGTTGAAATACTTTCTGCTGACAATTCTATATTTACCCAAAATAGTAATATTGAATAAAGCAATTAATAATCATCATCATAATTATAATAATAGTATTAATGACGATTAAGGCTTCTACAACAAACTAGTTTAAGACTCGTGGAATAACTAAGAAGCTCACTTCTATATAAACTAATCGCTGGAAATACTATTCAAAAATGCAATGAAAGCTATGCAATTGAATCATTCAGCATGGAGAACTAAGCACCATCAAAATCACCCATTTTAACTACGACTTTTCGCTGTCATCACAAAGCATAATTATAAAATATGAAAAGAGGTGTGTATGAACATAAATTTTCTTGAGTATGAAAAAGTATTAGGCTTATGGAAGAATAAAGCCTTGCAATTGTCACATTTTCATATAGATTTCTTGCTTGAAAGTGTTATAACTTGTGCCATGTGTCCTATTAATGCATAACGTGAACAATGAATTATCGACCAGGCCAATGACGCATAAAACAATACGAGCAGTCTAGAGTCTTTATTGGTCCTGCTTCTGTCTAGCCCAACCTGTTAAGTCCAGAACACCAATCTCATCCACCGCGATATCAATCATGTATTTCAAACATACTGGGTTTATATACAAACCAAACAGACCAAATCATACGATAAAATGTAAAATAACGTTGGTACAAGATTTAGCCGAAAGTGTCTGTGAATGAGGGAGGTAGTAATCAATATACTGAGTATAACTCAAGAATAGTAAATCGTATAATAACAGTTCATAGGTCAAAATAAAGCTTATGATAAGAGGAACACGAATATGAATAGTTTAGTCATTTAACAATTATACGATAAAAATATGCCCATAGTACTGGTCCATAAATAATCCCAAAAGTTACCACCATTATTCTCGTCGGGATATAACAGAAAGGATGAATCGTTGACACCACTAAAGTCCATAAGTAATTGAATCGTACTTCTTTCCAATACAAACGTTTGACTGTGTATATAATTTTGAAGAATATTTCTAGTGGAAAATTGTGAATAAAGTTGACGCGATTGTCTTGTATTAGGTTATTGACTTCTTCATATCACCTTATTTAGGATTATCCAGGGTAAGCATCATAAATCCTTTGTAACGTTTAAAATTATTAATAATTTAAACACAATTATATCAGCTATTCACTAATAGTAGCATTCGGTGACTAGTTATTTTCAATGAAATGAGTTTCCAAAATATTCAACAGGAGCGTGTGACCAGTAAATCTATTTGAATTTCACATAGTAACTACTTTTGAATCGCCCACGAATAATGGTTAGTTAAAAATAAATTTTAGATAAATACTTGTAGCGTAACTCATTATTGTTTATGTTGTTTAGATCAGTGTAAATTCTAAACTCATGGAAAAGGGATTCGTTCTTAATGATTTCCTTAGCTAAAAATATTCACATCAAATCATATAATTGTGTCATC